TACTCCTGTTGCCTGTACTTATCTTTTTCCTGTATATACGTGTAGATAATAAATTAATATAAAAAAATAAAAAAAATAAAAAATTAAAAAAACACCACAACAAAACACAAGACTTCAACATCTCAAAGCACCCAACCAAACCTAACAAGAACCAACTACCTCCAGGACTACTCCAACATCATACGCAGAATAACTTAGATAAGCTAAAACTAACCCAACCCCCCAAAGCAACCACCAACACTGTCCAAGTCCTACCGCCTACCACGTCCAAACGCATGATCGCAAACCTTAAGGCCGCAGCCAAAACCACCACAAAAAATCAAAAAAAAAAAACTCAACTACGCCTCAGAATGCTTCTAGCGACTCATGCGATATGGAAATTAATGAAAATACCATCACCCTTACTAACCTAGACTAATGCTTAAAATAATTCAATGGAACATAATAGGCTACAATAATAATTACCAAGAACTCCAAATACTCTTCTAACAATATAACCCACATATATTTGCCCTACAAGAAACCCATATATCTCACACAGAATCTCTACCTACCCCTGTAAACTTTACACTTCTCTGCAGTCACAATACTAATGCATTCGGAGGCACAGCTATACTGGTGTATAATTCTATCTCCCACACGCAACACCAACTGATTCCAGAGATTGAAGCTATTGCCATTCTGATAAATTCCAAAAAAATGTACACTAATACACACGCACATACAACTCTCCCAACAAACAACTTCGCACAAACAAGCTCCAAAACGACTTTTCCCCAACAAACCTACCAACTATAGTTCTAAGTGACTTCAACAGCTTGCACCCATAGTGGGGTTCCCCCAGAGCCAACTCTAGTGGCAACATTGTTGCAAAATTCAAAGACCGATCAGACTATATACTCCTTAACGACAAGACTATTCCACTCACAACACATTTACACACAAAGACCTCTTTCTTGCCCCTGCAGACATAGCGCCTGAAATAACGTGGAAAGTGATCGATGACCATCATGAAAGCGATCATTTTCCTATCCTTATTTTTATGTTCCCAAACAATTCCTCTCCATCCTTTCTCGCCAAACCATCTTTTAACCTAAACAAAGCAGACTTGACACTAGTTTCCAACATCATTGCACAAGAAATAAAATTAAACTTCTTAAATGAAACATAAACACAAGAAACAAACTCCTTTTAAATTCCTCAATAAGTTACATTCCGAGTCAAGCAGCCAATCAAAAGGAAAACGACATATCCTTTATAGAAATGTTATCTGCCCTTAACTCCCTCAAAGGCTCCACCACTGGTATGGACCGCATCTCCTATTCCATGATTAAAAACTCACCACCTTCCTTCAAAATCAGAATCCTCAATCATTTAAATAATATTCTAAATCTGTCTAACAAGTTTCCTCTCGACGATGGCATCCCACAAGTTTCACCCATTTCAGTCATTCTTTTCCTAATTTCCTACAATTCCCTAACAAAAATAATAGGTCTATCAAGGCAAATCAAATTCACTGCTTACGCCGACGACTTCAATCTAGTTATCGAACACAACAGAAGAAAAACCCCATTGCAGACCTCTCTTCTCTCTTCAAGAAAATAGGTCATTGGTGTTACGACTATGGAGCCTCCCTATCAATTGAAAAATGCCAAAGCCTACACATATGCCGTAAACCAAACTGTAAATCTTAAATCCGTACCGGCACCGTAAATATCCCAGAAACTAACAACACAACAATCCTAGGCCTCACGCTAAACAATAGATATAACTGGTCCACCCACATAAACAAGTTAAAAACCAAACTATGCATGCCTCTGAACATTATTAAACACCTTTCCTCTCTAAAATACAACACCAACACTTCCTCGCTAATCCATATTTTTAATTTCATCCTCATCTAAAATATAGATTACTGTCTGGCCATTTACGGAAACGCTCCTAAATACCTAATTAACCGTATAAAAACTTCTAAATCAAAAAGAACCACAACAAAAAATACGACATGGAAATTATTAACAAAGCTACTAACACAACACTATCAAACTACAACAAAACCAGCACATCTCCCACAATATATTTCAATCTCTAAAGAACACTCCGCCCAACCACAAATTTCTTTACACCGACGGCTTTATGGACAATTGTATAATCAGCTATAGTGTAAGCAGCGAACTCCTTTCCCACTACTCATCCGTTCTCTCTAGCAAGCTAATAGCCATCCGTGAAGCTGTCAAAATTACGTTAAAAATACCAGGCAAACATGCTATCTGCTCAGACTCTCTCTCTGCACTAAAGTCCCTCACCAACTCCAATAACCATTCCTACTATCCCTCAACCATCAGAAACCTCGTTTGTAACCACTTCCCTAAAATTAAAGTAATTTGGATCCCCAGTCATATAACACATAACAGGGAACGAAAACGCCGAGCTAAAGAGGCCCATAAGTACCCCCTTACCTACTCCACAAACAACAACTCTAACGACAAATGTAAAATCACATATGTAAAATCAAAACAATCTGACATGTACGACAATGTATCTCCTTGGTACAAACAAATGCTACAGACCTCACCGCAATCCATCTGTCATACACCGGCTACGACTAGGTCATACCAAACTCACTAATGCCCATTACATGGATAGAACACTTCCCAACACATGCCCGTTCTGCCACCACGCCCCAACAGACATCCACTGCCCTTCCTTATCTCAACCCAGATCAGAATCCTTCCATTCTTTTAACCCTGTTCACGCTTGCCTCTTTATTTTAGTTGAAATTGTATGCTAAAATATTACCCTCTCTTGTAAAGCATTATGATCCACAATGAAAACGGTAAATCATAAGCTTTCTTGTTATGCATAGCCTAACCAAATGTATAACCAAAAGCAGAATATAGTCTCACACAGAACTTCGTGAAGTAAATATCATTGACTCCGTCGTTTTAATTTTTGGATCAAGCTCCGCCAAGCTGCAAACTGCGCAATTCGAGCAGTGTAGGAGTGGCTCTCAGTGGCGAGCCTAGAGCTGGCATCACATGAAACAGAAGCGGTGCTGATATCAAGCAGGAAAGCAGTGGAGTCAGCGCATATACAGATCGGAGGGACAACGATAGTATCTCAGCGAGCCATAAGGTACCTGGGAGTCATGCTGGACACCCGCCTCTCTTACCGCGAACACCTAGAGTACGTAAATAAAAAGGCAAGTGAGACCACAGGATCGCTGTGCAGGATCCTGCTGAACATCAGGGGACCGAAGCAGGTCAGACGTAAGCTCCTCGCGACCGTTGTCGAGTCGCAGTTGTTATGTGCTAAACGACAAAAATATGCACAAATTGGAATTTAGCAAAGCTGTTTACCTTAAGACTGATAACGATAGGCGAAAAATCGATACAACACTATCGACGACTCGTGAGTTCAGGGAGTCGTGCAGCTTAGACAAGTCATGGAACTGGTTCCTTAAACCGGATAACTCCCAAATGAACCAAGGTTTAAATTCGAAAAGTTTGAGTGGTTTTTGGGCGAAGAGAGGCTTGAAAAATTGAAACAAGCAAGGGTGTTTAAAGGGCAAATATAGTTGGTCGCAGACGGTTCTGGTGGAAAAAAATATATATAAGATTAGAAGTCAAGTTCCTACCCAGTGAGTGATAAAAAAATCCTTGTTAATGTGAGTGGAGTTAAAATATAAATATTTATAGAATTTTCCGTGAGGGAAAAGCCTGGATCAGGAAAATAGACTGACGTAAGGAGAGACGAAGACCAGCCACCAGGAGGAGATCTAAATTTTCGACAAGAAAATTGGCCACTCATCCCCGGGTGGCCCCAGGTTTTTATTCGCCCTTATATTTGCCACCCAGAATTAGCAAAAGGTTCCCGAAAACTACAAGCGGCAAACAAATTCAACAAGCCGAAAATTAATACAAAAAAATTGAAACTGATGTTATGATTATGTAACCCGCCCAAATTAATTTATTCCTACTTATATTTATTTAAATTATTTATTTATTTAACCTATTTATTTACACCAATCCAAAACTATTGGAATATTGTTTATTGTTATTTATTTATTTATATATATATATATGTGTTCCCTGTAAAAGTTCGGTACCGACACGACAAATGGCGCCCAAAGAAAATATAAGAAATTAATGAAATGGAATCAATAAAAGTAAAAATTTTCAAGCATAACGTAGAAAGTAAATACTCACCAGAGAATGTGTCAATAGAAAGCGACATCGGAAACCAGCTGTTTGGACCGTGGGCGGGCTTAGAAGGTCGAACCCATCGTAGCCACAGTGAGTGAAATTCCGAAAGGTCCTTTCTGCTGAGCACAATCCTTGCTGAGAGAGAGAAGATCGATTAGAAGTGGACCCATGACCGAGTAAAGCGGGACATGCGAAGCCAGGCTAGGAGGTTCATCCGTATATGAAATAGAAAAAGAAAACAATTGTATTTTTAATATGTTGTCTGTGGTAAAGTAAATGTGTAGTAACTTATCTAAATTTGTTGTCTATGTTTGGAGTTGGTGTGGTCCAGGTACGCTGTGAATAAAGTGTGACATCGTTGCCCAGCAAGTTTCAAGTAGAGTCTGAAAGATAAGGAGTAAATTAAATTATTAAAATCGTTTAAATACTTGTGAGAAATTGACACGAACGGATTAGGAACTGAAGGAAAGGAGAGAAAAGTTAGTGGGTAATGTAAATAAGTACGTCTCATCCCCCCCAGATTAGAAAAATTTGAAGAAAGAGATAAGAAAAACAAATATACATGAGAAAGGAACTAGGATATGCCAAATAGTGATAGGAATAGAGTTCAAATCGGAAGAAAATTGAAGAGAAGTTTGGAGTTCATCCGGAATAGGCGACCAGCAGGTATGACTCCGCCAGTAACTCGCTCACAAGCAAATCAAGAGGAGAAATTGGAGAACGTATCGGCACCCGAAGGCATGGAGTCGCTAAGGGAGCAGAATCCTGAAGGAATGGGAAGCGGAAGTCCAGGAGAAGCTAGTGGTCTTCAAGCGGTAGGCGGAACCGGGGCCATACCAAAGTCTTTGCCATCTGAGATAAAATCAGGGGTTAATGCGGCACTGGTTCAAGCTCAACATACGTACCAGGTGGGAATGTCGACGGAGTACGAAATGTTCAAACAGCAGATGCAGCAGGATATGATGCAGTTCATGAAGGACATTAATGACTGCATGGCGGAGTGGCGCAGGGATTTCGCAAAGGAAAAAGCAGCATGGCAGGCATCTACGCAGTTTCGCCAGGCCCAAGGACAACAAGTTGGACAGGGCCAAATACCCTATTCGGGGACGCCCATGCCGCCACCTCATGGCCTTGCAGAGCAGCCGCGGGCAAATCCGAGTCAGATGCCACCATTCGACCCGAGGATGCTACAACAACCTCCGCCAATCATACTGCCGGGGGTACGTCACCACATGGGTTTCCCGCCGCCAACATCTGGGGCGCTGTCCGAGAAGCAGGAGATGAATCGTCATGCATCGGAAGGGTATGGGCAAACCGCCTGGTCGACGGAGCAGGAACCAAGGAGATGGAATGGGTCTCACATGACGCCGCCAGAACATCCTCCTGGAAACGGTGGGACTCATAAGAACTTCAATCCAGGACCGGATCAGCGTCGGTCAAGCGGGGCAGTGGGCGATTCTGCGTTTAAAGTCGGCCAACTGCGGAAGTGGGGGCTCAGTTTTGATGGAAGTCCCAGAAGCATGCCCGTGTCAGAGTTTATATTCCGCCTCGAACATCTCCAAAGGTCGTATCAGGTGCCGTGGAAGGAGGTCCTAAGAGAATTTCACGTGTTAGTTGAAGGACAAGCCAAGGAATGGTTTTGGATGTACGTGAGGTCAACGGAGAAGCAAGAGTGGACTTACCTGAGGTACGCACTACAGCAGCAGTTCCAGAGTCACCGATCCAACTTCGAGCGAGAGTATGAGCTGCGAGAACGGAAGCAGAAGCCGGGAGAAACCATCGAGGTGTATATCCAGACCATGCTAGCGCTCAGATCTCGACTAGAGATGCCGTTTGACCTGATAAAAGTGATAAAAATGAACATTAGGGATCAGATTTCGAGAATTTTATACCCGATATACATCACTAATATGGATCAACTCCGACATGAATGCCACGATGCGGAGAGAATATTGGCGACTCGGTGGACCCGACATCCCAGCAACCTCGAAACTCACCGAGGGTCCGAGGATCGATGAGCTTTGTCCGGAATCAGTCGGAGAAGAGAGTGTACCTGGAGAACAAGAGGAAGTGGAGGCATTAGCTAGACACTGGGAGACCAACAGGGAACGACAGCCACTTACATGCTGGAATTGTGGAACCGTGGGAAACCCATTCAACGCGTGTGAATGGGAGGTGTTAAAGGTGTTCTGTTTCAAGTGTGGACTACCCGGTGTGAGGACTCCAAGATGTACTCGGTGCCAAACGGGAAACGGTGTGAGGAGCTTGGGCAAGAACGAGGAACCACGCTCCAATCCGTTTGCCATGAACAAGTGAAAGCCTCGTCAAATTGCATGCCTAATGATAAGGATAGCTGTAAGGAGAATAAAATTAGTAAAATTCTGATAAATATAAATAAACCAGCACATACCATTAAATGGTCGAAACGTGAACCGATAGCAGTCCGGAAAGCACATTACCAAGAGGTCAGGAACCGAATATTTGGGAAAAATGATCCGGACCGGAACATTTCGCCAAAAATTGCCAGAGCCCGTAGGAGAAGTCAGCAGCGGAAGGCAGAAAGAAGGATGATTTGTTCGGCCATCAGAGCTGCGGTGGATTGCGACAACAGACCATTCGCACAGGTGAAGATCGAAGACCTGGAGGTCGTGGGTCTCTTGGATTCCGGGGCATCAGTAAGCTTGCTTGGGGAAGGTTGCCTAGAAACAGTGGAAAGGTTAGGACTGAAATTAGAGAGATCACAATCGATAATGAAATCAGCAGGAGGTACACAGCATCGAATAGTGGGGAAGATTCAACCCAGCATCTCGTATAATGGGGTAACACATCGATTGCCGATACTCCTTTGTCCATCCTTGAAACAAAAATTGTAGCTGGGCATAGATTTCTGGAGAAAATTCGAATTGGCACCAGAGGTGGTGGGTGTAGAATCCTTACACCAGGTGGAATCCGAGTTTATGGCCAAAGGAGAACCGATAGAGGCACATATCCTATCCCCCGAACAGACTGAGCAACTGGAAGAAGCTAAAGGACGTTTTCTGACCTACGAAAGTCAAGGATTAGGACTTACCAAGGTAGAAGAACACTCGATCCAGTTAGTTGAAGGAGCTGTACCCGTCAAGGAGAGATTCTTTCCCGTGTCTCCGGCGAAACAACAACTGCTATTCGCAGAAGTCGATGAAACGCTACGGTTAGGAGTCATCGAGTTAAGTGAAAGTCCCTGGAACAACCGAACGACGCTGGTACAGAAACCTGGAAAGAATAGGCTGTGCTTAGACGCGAGAAAACTGAACACACTTACAGTGAAGGATGCTAACCCGCTACAGAACGTTGAGTCGATTTTAAGCCGGGTGGATGAGACGATTTTCATCAGCAGTGTCGATTTGAAACATGCGTTCTGGCAAGTGGAACTCGATGAGAAAAGTCGTCCCTTGACCGCTTTCACAATACCTGGAAGGCCACTTTATCAGTTTCGACGGATGCCATTCGGATTATGTAATTCGGCTCAAAGGTTGTGTAGGGTAATGGACAAGGTAATCCCACAGCGTCTTCGCAGCCGCGTCTTTGTATACTTGGATGACTTGCTGATAATATCCAAGACTTTCGAAGAACACTGCATGTTGCTGAAAGAAGTGGCAGAGTGTTTGAATAAAGCAAATTTGACGATCGGGCTACACAAGTCAAAATTTTGTTTTAAATACTTGCGATATTTAGGATTCATAATCGGTGATAGGGCCTTGCGTAAGGATCCGAAGAAAGTTGAGGCGATTATGAAGATAGAGGTGCCCAAAAATACGCGACAACTACGCAGCTTCTTAGGAACCGCAGGCTGGTATCGCAGATTCATTCAAAATTTCTCCGGTGTAAGTGCGCCGCTCACGGACTGCCTTAAAAATAAAACAAAATTTATGTGAACGGAGGAAGCAACTACGGCATTCGAAACGCTGAAGAAAGCACTTACCTGTGCGCCGGTATTAGCTTATCCAGACTTTGGAAAACACTTATGGATACAGTGTGACGCCAGCCATGTATGAATTGGGGCAGTATTATACCAGCAAGACGTAGAAGGATCGGACCGGACAATATAATTCTTTTCGGCGAAGCTGAGAGGAGCACAACTCAATTACAGCGTAACGGAAAAAAAATGTCTCGCAGCAGTAAAAGCCGTAGAAAGATTCCGTCCCTATGTGGAGTTGATGCCGTTCACGATCGTTACCGACCATGCAAGCCTGCAATGGCTTATGACGCTCAAGGACTTGAACGGGAGGCTGGCGCGGTGGTCGTTAGCGTTACAGGCATTCGACTTCAACATAAATACTTCAACAACATCGGAAAGGGAAAGACAACATCGTGGCCGACATGCTATCTCGGCCGAATGAAACCGCCGAAGTAGAGTTCTTCGAGTTTGAAACAACTGAATTTGAGAGTCCTGAATACCTGGAAAGACTGCAGTTGGTTGAAGAGCAAGGAAGAGATAAATTTCCGGACTTACGTGTAGAAGAAGGACTTCTATTCAAGAAGACACACTTCAATAGAGAGGAAAGTGGGGAATTTGAATGGAAACTGTGGATTCCGGAAGCATTGACGACAACTCTAATCCAGCAAGCCCACGGCGGCGACACGGCGATGCATGGGGGTATGGCAAAGACCTTGGCGAGACTTCAGCAGATGTATTACTGGCCCAAAATGGTAGTTCAAGTCCGGGACTTTGTAGCAGCCTGCGAAAACTGCAAAGAGAACAAGCACACAACACAGATAAAGCTACCAGTGATGGGGAAGGAAGTACGGACAGATCGACCCATTCAAAAGATGTACCTGGATTTCTTAGGAAAATATCCGCGGTCTCGCCGAGGAAATACCATGCTATTTATCGCATTAGACCACTTGACCAAGTTTGTGTGGCTAAAAGCGATGCCGAAGGCCACATCGACAGCTGTAATCCAATTCCTGCAAGAAGGAATATTCACCCAATTCGGAGTTCCGGAAACAATCCACACGGACAACGGAAGACAGTTTGTATCCAAGGAATTCGAGAATATGCTACAAGAATATGGAATTACACACATGAAGACAGGGAGATACGCACCACAATCCAATTCTTCGGAGAGAGTGAACCAATCCGTATTAGCAGCAATCCGAGTAAACATCCAAGACGACCACACGCGATGGGATGAACACTTACCGGACATACAAGCGTCGCTGAGGTCATCCATACATAGCAGCACCGGAACTTCGCCGTATTTTGCCATGTTCGGACAGCACATGTTCACGAACGAAAAAGATTACTCGCTGGCTCGCAAGTTGAATGCCCTGAATGAAGCTGAGATAGCCCAATTGCCCAGGTCGGAACGACAACAGTTATCCAGAGAAAAAATAAAAGGAAGGATACATCAGGCCTACGAGAAAGCAGCGAAGAGTTACAACTTAAAGGCCCGAGAGAAAAATCACTATCGACGACTCGTGAGTTCAGGGAGTCGTGCAGCTTAGACAAGTCATGGAACTGGTTCCTTAAACCGGATAACTCCCAAATGGTTTTTGAGCGAAGAGAGGCTTGGAAAATTGAAACAAGCAAGGGTGTTTAAAGGGCAAATATAGTTGGTCGCAGACGGTTCTGGTGGAAAAAAATATATATAAGATTAGAAGTCAAGTTCCTACCCAGTGAGTGATAAAAAAAATCCTTGTTAATGTGAGTGGAGTTGAAATATAAATATTTATAGAATATTCCGTGAGGGAAAAGCCTGGATCAGGAAAATAGACTGACGTAAGGAGAGACGAAGACCAGCCACCAGGAGGAGATCTAAATTTTCGACAAGAAAATTGGCCACTCATCCCCGGGTGGCCCCAGGTTTTTATTCGCCCCTTATATTTGCCACCCAGAATTAGCAAAAGGTTCCCGAAAACTACAAGCGGCAAACAAATTCAACAAGCCGAAAATTAATACAAAAAAATTGAGACTGATGTTATTGATTATGTAACCCGCCCAAATTAATTTATTCCTACTTATATCCATTTAAATTATTTATTTATTTAACCTATTTATTTACACCAATCCAAAACTATTGAAATATTGTTTATTGTTATTTATTTATTAATATATATATATATGTGTTCCCTGTAAAAGTTAGGTACCCTAGGTAGGATTATTAAATGTTAAAATTTAAGAGAAAATGGTAAATTATAATGTGAAAACGAAATGAAGTCGTGTGAGTAGAAATTCGTGTTGGGGGTTGGGATGAGTTAGGCGAGGTAGCACGATCCACCGAACAGGATTGGGAGATGTGTCCAAAGGATGTTGAAGGATACACTCATGGTTGGGAGGGACTCCAGGACCACGATAAGAGCTGTGTTGTCCAGTCCAGATGTTCAAGAAAAATCCGTCGTGAAATTGCCGTTGTCCGAGTTTGAATTTCCGTTTTGTTTTTGTTGTGCCTGCTGCGTAGACAACATTGTTGGTTGTTCCCCTCCCTGGGATGTTCGTTGACTAGCCGGCATCTACACTGCGCGAAAAGCAGGACACAACACAGTTGCTTTACGCTGCTCCGGCGTGGGCCGAGGCCACGGCTGTAAGCAGCTACCGTCAGAATATCGAGTGCTATTAGGACAATCTCGAACGACGCAGCGCTTGTCATTGTAGGCCAAGTTCCCCTTAGTGAACTAGTGCAGGAGGCCAAGGAGATTTGCCCGGCCCTAGCAGGCGATCAGGCGAACCACAGAGCCAAGACCAGGATGCAGAGCGTCGACAACTGGCAGGCAGCCTGGGACAACTCCAGTAAGGGACGCTGAACGCACCAGCTCATCCCCAGTATAGAGCCTTGGGTAAAGAGGAAACACGCCCAGGTAGATTTTTACCTCACGCAGGCGCTGAGTGGACACGGTTGCTTCCGAAGCTTCCTTAAGCGCTTCGGACACGCCACGGAAGACGGTTTCCCAGAGTGCGGCAGTGGGATTGTTGAGGACGCTCAGCATATCCTCTTTGAATGTCGCCGCTTTGGCTACGACCGCCAAATACTGCCCCTAATGCTGCTAAATGGGAAGCGACGGCAGCCTACGCAGCGAGTGTACTCCGAACGCTGCGTCGCACCGATAACGAGAGGAGAGAAGCTACAGCCTAGGTGGCTACCATTGCGCGAAGCAATACCTTGCGGTGATACCGCGCAAAGCACGGCCCCCTACTCCTGTTGCCTGTACTTACCTTTTTCCTGCATATACGTGTAGGTAATAAATTAATATAAAAAATAAAAAAAATAAAAAATTAAAAAAACACCACAACAAAACACAAGACTTCAACATCTCAAAGCACCCAACCAAACCTAACAAGAACCAACTACCTCCAGGACTACTCCAACATCATACGCAGAATAACTTAGATAAGCTAAAACTAGCCCAACCTCCCAAAGCAACCACCAACACTGTCCAAGTCCTACCGCCTACCACGTCCAAACGCATGATCGCAAACCTTAAGGCCGCAGCCAAAACTACCACAAAAAATCCAAAAAAAAAAAACTCAACTACGCCTGAGAATGCTTCTAGCGACTCGCGATATGGAAATTAATGAAAATACCATCACCCTACCCATCTCTACCTACCCCTGTAAACTTTACACTTCTCTGCAGTCACAATACTAATGCATTCGGAGGCACAGCTATACTGGTGTATAATTCTATCTCCCACACGCAACACCAACTGATTCCAGAGATTGAAGCTATTGCCATTCTGATAAATTCCAAAAAAATGTACACTAATACACACGCACATACAACTCTCCCAACAAACAACTTCGCACAAACAACCTCCAAAACGTCTTTTCCCCAACAAACCTACCAACTATAGTTCTAAGTGACTTCAACAGCTTGCACCCATAGTGGGGTTCCCCCAGAGCCAACTCTAGTGGCAACATTGTTGCAAAATTCAAAGACCGATCAGACTATATACTCCTTAACGACAAGACTATTCCACTCACAACACATTTACACACAAAGACCTCTAACTTGCCACTGCAGACATAGCGCCTGAAATAACGTGGAAAGTGATCGATGACCATCATGAAAGCGATCATTTTCCTATCCTTATTTCTTTGTTCCCAAACAATTCCTCCATATCCTTTCTCGCCAAACCATCTTTTAACCTAAACAAAGCAGACTTGACCCTACTTTCCAACATCATTGCACAAAAAATAAAATTAAACTTCTTAAACGAAACATAAACACAAGAAACAAACTCCTTTTAAATTCCTCAATAAATTACATTCCGAGTCAAGCAGCCAATCAAAAGGAAAACGACATATCCTTTATAGAAATGTTATCTGCCCTTAACTCCCTCAAAGGCTCCACCACTGGTATGGACCGCATCTCCTATGCCATGATTAAAAACTCACCACCTTCCTTCAAAATCAGAATCCTCAATCATTTAAATAATATTCTAAATCTGTCTAACACCTTTCCTCTCGACGATGGCATCCCACAAGTTTCACCCATTTCAGTCATTCTTTTCCTAATTTCCTACAATTCCCTAACAAAAATAATAGGTCTATCAAGGCAAATCAAATTCACTGCTTACGCCGACGACTTCAATCTAATTATCGAACACAACAGAAGAAAAAACCCCATTGCAGACCTCTCTTCTCTCTTCAAGAAAATAGGTCATTGGTGTTCCGACTATGGAGCCTCCCTATCAATTGAAAAATGCCAAAGCCTACACATATGCCGTAAACCAAACTGTAAATCTGAAATCCGTACCGGCACCGTAAATATCCCAGAAACTAACAACACAACAATCCTAGGCCTCACGCTAAACAATAGATATAACTGGTCCACCCACATAAACAAAACAAAAACCAAACTATGCATGCCTCTGAACATTATTAAACACCTTTCCTCTCTAAAATACAACATGTTAACAAGCTCAATGGCCCTGAGGACTCCGTCTTGATAAATTACACCTGCTTAGGGGACGGTTCCCATAATCGATTACCTTCTCTAAAACTCCCAAAATTTGATGGAAAATATGGCGAGTACAACCGTTTTATTGCAGCCTTCAATCATATGGTTCAAGATGATGTCTTACTTTCTGATATTGACAAGTTTACGTCTTTCTGGTCCTGCATTTTAATTTTCTTCCGATACTTGAAATGCAGCCACTAGCATTTCAAGTATCGGGAGAAAATTACAAAAAGGCATTGAAGCGCCTTAAGGAACGATAAGATAAAAAAGTGTTGATCTTATTCGAACATGTATCTAGCCTTTTCTCCATTTCTCAAATGAGAAAATCTGATTCTTAATCCCTTCGAGAAATTTTAAATACAGTGGCAGCGTTGCGTGGTTAACTGCTCTCTCTTGGCACCGAACAAAATGCATTTGAAGCCATTTTAATTCAGCTCGTTTTGCAAAAGGTCGATTCAGATTCAAACATGCTTATGAGCGAGGTCAGAACTATGAGCAGTTTCCAACTTGGGATATTTTCTACAACATATTAGGTAGGCATTGCCAGATTCTAGAATGCAGCGCAAAGCCAGGCCAGGAGTTCAAGCAGTATGATAAGCGTCCAGAAAAACTAAATCACAACCACAAAAAGACATTCTTAACGGCTGGAGGCAGTTGTATAAAATGCGATTCTACAGATCACAATCTAGCATCGTGCCCATCATTCGTTGCACTTCCACATGAGAAGCGACATGCTTGGGTCAAACAGGCAGCTCTATGTATAAACTGTCCTCATAAGGGACACATTGCAGCTGACTGTCCTTCGAAATTTGGCTGTAGGACTTATCGCGGGTTGCACCATTCTTCGTTACATCGCAGAAGTGAAACACAAGAAATTTCTCAACCAAATGTAGAACAGACAAACGAGCAACCTCGTCGCTATAGTTCTTATCCAGGATAAATACGGAATGTTCCACCCTGCAAGGGCCTTGCTTGATTCTGGCTCGGAAATTAACTTTATCACAGCTACTTTTGCCAACAAATTACAACTTCAGCGTAAGCGTCCACATTTTGAAGTTTCTGGTATAGGAGATGTTACAGCAAAACTTCAGTTCTCAGTCTCGACGACCATACGCTCACGTTTGTCTGCTGACGAATGGTCATTCAAATTTGCTATTACCAAGACAATAGCATCAACCCGCCACTCGAATAGAAACATCAACGTGGTCAATCCCTGACGGAATAGACTTGGCTGACCCATTGTTTTTTAAACCACAAACAATTTACATTTTACTAAGCACCCATGAATTCTTCGAATTGCTCACTGGCGAAAAATTATCTCTGGGGCCTGGGCTGCCATGCCTACTTAACACTACACTCGGATGGATTATTGGTGGACAAGTTGTTGACAATCCGCAATCTAGGGCGAGGGCT